GAATCCTAAGACCAAGTTTTTTTTTGTTTTTTGTTTTTTTGTTTTTTTGTTCTTTTGTTTTTTTGTTTTTCAAGACAGGGTTTCTTTATATAGTCCTGGCTGTCCTGGAACTCACTCTGTAGACCAGGCTGGCCTCAAACTCAGAAATCCGCCTGACTCTGCCTCTCAAGTGCTGGGATTGAAGGCGTGAGCCACCACTGCCCAGCCCAAGTTTTTAACCTTAGTGTTTTTCAATGTCTTCCTCATATAAGGTGTAGATTCAGCAGGGGTGGGGGAACTAGCAAGATATAACACTAACCCTGGTGTTGGTGGTTTTAAAATTCTTTCATATTGAGTCAGTAAGGTAGCTCAGCAGATAATGGCACTTGCTGGCCAAGCCTGGTGACCTGAGTTTGACATCAGGGATCCACCTAAAGGTGGAACGAGAGAGATCTGATTTCACAAAGTTGTCCTCTGACCTTCATATACTATGACCTTCATATACCTTCAAATATATAATGTATAGAAAACAATGCACACACACACACACGCACACACATGCACACACACACATACACACACAATTTACAAAGCAGCATTAAGAATATTATTTGAGTCCAATAAAATGCAGGATTCCAAATTATCAAATTTGTAAAAATTGCCTTTATAGAAAGTAGACTGATAATTTGGAGAAAGGTTAAATTTGATAAGAATTTGATACCCCAAGACCCTATTTCTTACAAAATTAATGTTTACAGAGGACCAATGCTCACTTTCCATCATCCATACAGTGGCTAACAACCATGTGTGATTCCAGTTCTGCAAGACCCTTGCCCTCTTCTGACGTTTGAGGGTGTAGGCACACACATGGTAGACAGATACTCATGCAGGCAAATACTCATCAAAAAGTTAGAATCAATAAATCTCTTTAAAAATTAAAGCCTCAACTCATCATCAGGTCGTAAATATGGATCCCCTGGATTTTTGGCTCGAAATTTCCTGTGTAGTGATTTTAGCAGAAAAGTCTGCCTGCGTGCTTGTGTGATACATTTAAATTGTCCCGTGCCTCCATTTACTTAATACTGTCACTCTTTGGGCTTGAAAACTAAATACATGCATTTTATTAAAACATTTTTCCAAACAGCTAGATTGTCTCCTTTTTGTTATATAAAAGGAAACCCTGACAACTGACACTTGTGCTGGCTAGTCTTACGTCAGCTTGACACTAACTAGAGCTATCTGAAAGGAAAGAACTTCAACTGAGGGACATGCCTCCATAAGATCCAGCTGTAAGACATTTTCTCCATTAGTGATTGATGGAGGAGGACCCAGCCCATTGTGGGTGGGTGATGCCATCTCTGGGCTGGTGGTCATGAGTTCTATGAGCTGAGCAGGCTGAGCAAGTCAGTAAGCAGTGCCCCCCCCCCCACCGTGGCCTCTGCACCAGCTCTCATCTCTAGGTTCCTACCCTGTTTAGTCCCCATCTTGGCTTCTTTCAATAATGAACAGCAATGTGGAAGTGTACGTTGAATAAACCTTTCCTCTCCAACATGCTTTTTGGTCATGATGTTTTGTTGCAGCAATGGAAACCCTAATTAAGACATCCCTGTATGAACTTGGAAGTCATCAAACTATTAAGACAGAAGAGTCAGACACAGAAGTATACCTGGTTTCACTTAACTGCAGAAAAACCAAATGAACAAACAAAACCAATAAGAAAACCCCAGATACATAGAAACTGAGAGAAGTTAGAGAGAAAGACTAGAGGAAGAGATGAGGTGGAGGTCAAAGGTCAAAGGGCAGACGGTTTTATGTATACAGCTTGAGCAGTACTAGAGATCTAATGTACAGTACAACGACTGCAGCTATGAGTTACTTTCCTGTTGCTGTGATAAAACATCCAAGTCAACATATGGACGGAAAAGTTTATTTGGGGCTTAGGGCTACAGAGGGAGGACTCATAATGGCAGAGAGACATAACAGCAAGAAGCCACGGCAGGAAGCCGAAAGAAAGATCCTATGCTCCACCACAAACAGGAAGCAGAGAGTGACCTGAAGGGGAGGCTGGGCTACAAAGTTTCCAAGCTCGCCACCAGGCATAGACTTTTTCTAATAAGACCCCACTCCCTAAATCTCTGGAAACAGTACCACCAACTGGAGACTGCGTGTTCAAATAAATGAGCCCGTGGGGGATATTTCTCATTCGGTTTACCAACATAGGACATTCACCAACAGAATACATTTTAGGTTTTACCTATTTATTGACTCTCAGCTATGTAGCCCAAACTGGCCTGGAACTCATAATTCTCCTGCCTCTACCTCCCAAATGTCAGGACTACAGTCCTGTGCTACCACACCTAGGTCTTAGTACTTTTCTCATGTACACACACAGACACACACAGAGACACACACACACACAGACACACACACATTTGTGAACTGATATGATAAATAGGCATCTGTTTGAATACTAAGCAAACATTTTACTATGTGTATCAAAACTACATATACCAGAACATGATACAATACATGAATATATATAATCAACAAAAGAATCAAATGAAAAACAAAAATACCAAACAGGAAAACTAAACCACATATATATATCAGCAATTCTGACTTGCAGGTAGGCTAGCAGTGTGGATTTGAGAAAGAACTGTGCTCCCAAGTGTTTGACTGGAGGTCAACACATGCTCAGGAGAGGTGCCTCCTTGCATCAGAACTATTGGTTAGGGCCCATAAACATTAAAATGAATTGAAGCGATAGTCATTAGGTACTTTGGCAATCCCATCTTACCCCGTGAGATAATTGGGTAATGGCTATGATGTAGAAAAATAGCTTCTATTCATCATCTTGTCTGCATACACAGACACTGTTAGCACTTTGCAAGATGTATTGGGTCCGATGACATTTTCACTGAAATAAAATAGATCATGTTTTCTCCCACCAGGGTCTAGCATCATTTGGAAAGGTAGCCTCTTATATGTCCACCGAGCACGACAACAGGGGCATTAAGTGCCTGAGTGTTCATAAGTGTCTGGGGGTTTTCCTGGAAAAAAATAAAGCTCTCCATTTTCATTCGATTCAAGTAGTTCGTTCTGTTCACGGCAGAGGTTGTAAACTCCGAGTGAGGAAATTAAATTCTGACGAACAACTCTCCGCTCAGCTGGTGCACTAATTGAAACTGAACCTAATGTCTTTACTGAAGAGCAATCAGAAAGTACACAGAATGAATGTGCAATAGAGAAAACCATCCGCGGTGACCTTCAGACTTCCCAGCTAGTCTCGGGAGCCTGAATTCCGCAGATATCTTCTCCCCCTCTTGTTAGCCAGCGAAGGTAGTTCACAGGGCACCGTTTGCTAAAACCAAGTGGATGGGGGCAGGGGGCCGTCAGGATAATTTGCCATGAGGTCTCATGGATGACAAACCCCAAACCTACCTTTTACACAAGCTCCTGAAAATGAAATCAACATTAAAGCTAATGTCACAAAAATGACTCATTCCCTGTCTGGATTTTATTTTCAGTGAGATAAATTTTCTTGAACAAACATTTTTTTCAATAGGAGAATGGAAGGTAGGATTGTCTCAAGTTCTCTGGCAGAAGTTTATTGTGGAGAGATTGCCCTGCTGGCCTCTGCTGGGCTGCTCTCTGAGAGAAAGAGAAGGGAAAAAATGTCACCACTCCCTCACAGTAGAGAGGCTGCTGCTGAAGAAATTGCAGCAGGAGACTTGTGAAACTCTAGCTTGACACGATTGGAACTCACCTCATGAGCAATGTCCTCGAAATAAAGGACCCACGTTTCTAGAACTGTCCTGAAGAGAAGCAAAGATTAATATTTAGCTGGGCAGTGGTGGCGCACGCCTTTAACCCCAGCACTTGGGTGGCAGAGGCAGGTGGATTTCTGAGTTCGAGGCCAGCCTGGTCTACAGAGTGAGTTCCAGGACAGCCAGGACTACACAGAGAAACCCTGTCTCGAAAAACCAAAAAATAAAAAATAAAAAATAAAAATAGAAACATAAAAAAAATTAAAAATTAGTATTTAAAGTGGTTAATGCTCAAAGGACCATAAAGAAATAAAAAAAGTCTTCAAAGTAGCAGCTAGGCAAATGACTAACTTCTGACAGAGAACTACTTTGCAGCTGCTTAGGAGAATATTTGGAAAATGATATTACCCTTTGACATGAACAAGCAGGAGGCTTGGTACAAGTGCCAGTTTGGGTGTACCACACTTAAGTGACGCACCCACAAAGTTAGCTCAATAAATCTTACCGGTCTCCACTTTTCCCACCATAGGGTAAGCCTCAAGCTAGGTCCAGTGTGGCACAGTCTCCTCCTACTGCCTATGTATCAAGATGAGAACGCTCAGCTCCTTCTCCAGCACGTCTGCCTGCATGCCACCATGCTTCTTCTCACCAAGGCGGTAATAGACTAATCCTCTGAAACTGTAGGTCAGTCCCAAGTAAATGCTTTCCTTTAAGAGTTGCTGTGGTCGTAGTATCTCTTCACACCAGTACAATCCTAACTAAGTGGATTCATCCAAAGACTGCACACTAAGTAACGGTAACAAAATGCTGTCCTTCAATAGTGTACAGTGCTAAAAGGCACAATATGGTACTTTGAAAACTCAAAAGGAGAATGCTGAAAGGTTTTATGTCACAGATGGATAGTTTTATGTATGTCAGTTTTCTATTTTAAACTGTATGACTGTAAACATGTGCATGCTTTGCGTGTGCATACAAACACACAATTATAACCCATGTGCTTTACAACTGGGCATGTTTTTAGGTAACTATAATCCTGGCACTAGGGAAGCTGGGATAGGGCTTAAGGAACAGCCAGATGCTCATTAAAACATTTATTGGCTATCTACTGCCACCTAGTGGCTACATATGTAAGTATGGCGTACGTAGCCTGGTTTTGTCAACTGGATGGAACGGGACTTATATGTCGATCTCCCTATTTCAATTTAACAGATGAACCATGAACAGCAATATAAATGCAGTAAAAAAACCAGGCAGTAAAGCTAAAGTATTTTATTAATAATTTATTGTCAGTAAGAAAGGCTGGCTAATGATAGTTTTCAGTAAAAACCTTTACAAGACCATTGCATCACAAATATACAGACACTATAAAAACCGTGTCGTGGTGGTTTTGGTTCTAAACAGGTATGCAGAAGGTCCCCTTTACACTTTCCAATAATGAAAAATGTTTATAATGTTTATCCTAATACAGCAACCCATTTAAGACATGTCCAGTAACAGGTCGTCCTCACCCCATATGTACAGCTACACTGGACCGAAATGTGTCAATGAAATGTCATACTTGAGTGGGAAAGAACAGCATGAAACCCTGGTTACATCAGAAAATCAGATGCTAGGCGATGACACTAACACCACACAGATCCAGCAGAAAACAAACACACAATGCGTCCTGAAAACCTAGTTAAAACTATGGGAGGAAAAAAAAAATCAAATCTGTACATAAAATTTACACAAAGAAAGCAAAATTAAAATAATCGGATCTATATAAATACATGAATCATGCTAACAAGACGACAGGACTGATTTCTGTTTCATCATTTTAACAGAGACAAATCTAAATACGAAAAGATGCTGGGGATGGGACAGGGGATGAAAACCCGGTCGATTATAGTCAGTTAGGACACTGGAAATGGCTAACATGTCAAGAGGCGTGTGACTCCGTGCAGCCACGCCTACCGCAGCTCGCCGAGAAGGGGGCAAGACCGCTGCAAAAGAACAACGCGGATATCACGGGTAGCATCTCTAGGTTCATGAAAGTCCAGGCACTTTGGGGAGGAGTTTGAGCGTCACACTTCCGTATGCTGCTGGGACTCTAGCGGAGGGATCGTCACCTCTTCAAAGTGGCCGTCGTCCCCGCTCTCGTAGTCGCTCATCATGACCTCAGACTCCACTTCACAGCACGCTGACACATCGGAGCAGGAAGCCGTGGAGGCGTACACAGACATGGGCATGTTTTCTATGGTGGGCGCTTCGAAGTTTCTTTGATACCCCGGAGGGTAGGGGGTGTAGGGTTCTCTACATGGACTGTTCTCGCCAGCGCCTTGTTTCTGAGGTTCAGACATATCGACGGGGTAGAAATTGGGCAGGTACTGATTCAGGTTGAACCTCTGCCGACTCCTGGAGGAAGATCCCAAGCTACCTGCTGCAGGCATGTCTCTGGGTGGGTGTATGGACTCGAACTGGTCGCTGAATTCTGGAGGCAATGGTGGCAGTTCATCGGGTGCAGGGAAGTCCTCTGGTGGGGGTGGGAAGTCACTTTCAATGTCATAACCCCCAGGGTAATAGTCAGTATCAATGGCATTTGGATCAGCCGAGTAGAGGGGCGTGTGCTCGTCAATAACCTCGTAATTGGGGAACTCTTGTATGTCTGGCAGAGGAACGCTTGGCATCCAGTCTGATGTATCCCAGTGGTACCCTTGGTAGAAAAGGAAACAAGATTTCAGTTTGTTTCTCTTAGCTTCTATGCCTCGGGGAAAGAGCTCAGTGTATCAGACACAAGACACAGAAGAATGTGTGCATTCCTCCCAAGCCCATCACTCCGCAAACCCCGCCCCGACACAGTGACTATTTCCGGAATGTGAACTTGCGGTTTTAGTACATATCTGACATTCAAGGCAACAGAGTTCCGACAGAAGCAGCTGTACCATTTTAAACACATGCAGATTTTTTTTTTTTAAACAAACAATCCTAACCACGCTTCAACTTTCCTTCTGCTGACCCAGCTCCATGGGAAGGCGGTACAGGAAGTTAGTAAGGGGCTTTCAAACAGAAGGTCTCTACTGGGAGAAATTCCAAACATCATTGGGCTTTGTGCTGCCTGTCATCCGAAAATACTAATTAAGGGCAAATCTAAAAATAATAAAAATAGCTTTTAACATGTTAAATTCAGTAGTAAAGGTAGCATTAATAGTTATATTGATTTTTATTAGCCACGAATAAAACAATGAATTATTTTAATACAGGCTATGTATGCATCAAACCATGTCCCTAAATCAAACAAAATATAATCAAATAAGTACTAAAAAACATAAAAAACCGAGGATCATTCTGGACAGTATGAAAATGCCACCTTTTTTTTTTTTTTTTTTTAAGAAAACCAAGGCCTAACTTAAGGGTAGGAGTTTCTTTTTTCTCTTCGTGGGGTTTTTAAAGATTCTGTGAGAGCCGAGAGAAGGTTAGGCAGTGCAGAACAATAGGCTTGGTTACTGCGGTAGCATCAAGCACCCCAGTGAAGCACGCCATCATTGGTCGGGCTTAACCAATGACTTTTAGTGAGTATTAATGGACAGCTGACATGCATGAGTCACCTCTTGGTTTGCTGAGGTCAGGAGCAGCCAAAGATTCTTTGGGTGGCAGAGTAGAAAGAAAAGAAAACATCAATAATTAAAATAGACAAACGGCTGAAAAGGCAACCCAGATAAGCACACGGTACAATATAACGGGTCTGTAAAGGCCCAGGCGGCCGGACAAGCTGTCTTTACCTCACTCTCGCTACAGATCACAAATGAGAAATTCATGTTTCGCAAACTAAACGGGAGGAGGGCACGAAGAGAGAGATGAGCGATGGTAAACCAGGGGCTTTGCTGTGAATCCTGGAAACAGAACTAACTGCCTTAGGAAAATTATAAACTACAGGTACTGATATATATATATATATATAAATTGGTTACTTAAGGGACTATCTCAAAACATGAGCTACACACACACAATGTGCACACACGTTAGTGCACAGGAGACCCTTCAGAAGTATAAGTTCAGAGAAACTGATGTGGCATGCTCATAGACAACCAGAAGTTGACCATATCGCCAAACCTTACTCACTTTCACTTTGACTGTTATATTTACACTGTTAACCTTTTAGTGAGATCCTTAATTAGCTACCTTTAGGACATGGCCTCTTCCCATCAACTCTGCAGCTATACTCTTTCTCCCAGTCTCCCATTTTCTTTGGCCCCCAACTCCAAGGAAATGGATAGAAAAATCTCAGGACCATGGGATGCTGCTCGGCCTGGCTAACAGATTACTCTCATAACTCAACAAGACAACGTGGGTCAAGTGTGACCCGGCAGGTAAGTCATTGTCACTGTGAGTGGACTAGTCATGGCAGAGCTGTGGCCACTCTTCTAAACAAGAGGTAATGCTTTCTGTGTACCCCATAATGTCCCTGAAAACTGTGACAACGAAGTAATTTTTGACAAATTAATAGCTAACTGATATTTCTGGTAGGAGTTTAAATGAAAGTGGAAAAGACAGATGTTTCAAAAATATGAATAAAAAGAGTATTTAAGGAAAGTATTTATGTAGCTTTGACAAATCTACTGTGATATAGTGAATTCCTTTATAAAAGAGGACTGGCAACCCTTGCTGTACACTAAGCATTTGAAAACCCTTTAAACTTATGTGCGTTTCCAACTTTAAATTCACTTCAGATATGAAGATAAATCAGTAGAAATCACATTGAGGAGACTTTACATTTCTGCTTCTTTAAACTTATCAGTATTTAAGATATTGGAATGTCATTCTGTTTCAACTAAAATTGGGTAGACAAAATACAGATAATATTCTGATTGCCAAAGTGAAAACACAGTACTTTTAAGAAAGTAGACTAAGTCCCTTAGTAACTGTGACCACTGACGTCACACTTGCCCTCTTCCAGATCTAGCAGATAACCTTGCCTCTTTCACCTAACGGTGCCTGCTGATGTGTCCTTGCAGCAGAATCATGTGTGTTTACTGCGAGTGCTGTTTGAATACAGCTTGTCCTTCTGTGTTTTCACAGGTGGTGGGGGCGGGGGTACAGTGCATATGCATGTGCATATGTGTGCACATGTGTGTGCATATGCATGTGTGTGCATATGTATGTGTTCATGTGCACATGTGTATGTGTGTGTATGCATGTGAGTGCACATATGCGTGTGCATATGTGTGTGTGTATATGCATGTGTGGGCATATGCATGTGCACGTGTGCGTATATGCATGTCAGAGCTTAAGCTTACTCTGAGGATTCTCTGCTTCTGCCTTTCAAGGTAGGAATTGTCAGCAGAGCACTTTAAACCACCTCATTTACACCCGGGGATCTGAGCTATGGTCTTCACGCTTGTGTGCCAAGCACTCCGAAGCGGTGATTTTCACATCAGGAAATTTCTAGATCCAAATCAACTGGACATTTACTAAAAATGAAAGTTCTCGGGCCCAACACAGACCTCCTCAAGCAGAAATTGGTGCTGGAAACCTGCCCCCAAGTCTTCAGCAGCATTCTATAACATTTAAAACAAGTAATGCAAAGACATGCATACAAATATTTTCAAAATGCACTCACACTGTGAACATAAACATCCCCACATGAAAGCCACCAAACCTCCCCGAAGGACGAACTATTTCAATAACAGGACAATAGGCAGACGCATACCACCCACTTACAGTCACTGCAAACCACAGACACACAACACAGAGACTTATACCTTCTTTATTCACCGTGTCAACGACAGCGTTGACAAGGTGTATTACAGTCACTATGGAAGCTTGTAAAAAGGCACAAAAGGAGCCAATTAGGAAAATCCTTAGTTAGTAGAAAACAATGCATTAAGTAAAATTCTTTAATTCAATGCAATTTCTCCCCTAATATAAGACTGTGAGATGAATGCTTTGAGACCACAAGATAATTATGCATGACCCCTGCACTTTACCCGCTAGTTACAGGTCTCAGGACACTTCAAATCAAGCTATAGGCTTGCCACTATTAGTCAAGCAAACGAAATAACTATGTTTCCAGAAGAGTTAGGGAAAAAGCTTTAGCTAAGTATTTTACCCAATTATAGTTATGGAGTATATCAGGGAAAAAAACAATTCAGATTTACATCTCCTGGACAAAGGATTACATGTTCAAGAAACTGGTTTATTATCTGAGAATAAGGAAATCTAGGGAGATATATGTACAACGTAAATACAAGACTGGTTGTGTCCCTGTTGCTTAGCGTGTATTTCTCAGGTTGCAGATGCTGTACAGATTCCTTTTTCACCTGCATATTATTTTAAAGTACCAACGTCGACATAAACTGGGTACATTTTAATCCTGAGATCTAATGACTATTTAACCTAGTGCCTGGAAGAAAACATAACAAGACAAGCTTCCTGCTGTCATTAAGGCTCCCATGTGGGAGAGGTGGAGGGATCGTTCTGCATTAGCTGGGTGGGCTGAGGGGACTGGAATGGCCTGTCACTGGGAGCTGTCCCAGCTGTGCCCCTGGAGCGTGACATTCTGACCACAGGTTCTGAACAGGGAACAACAGGAGCCTTGAAAGGAGAGGCCTTAATTACCAGGAAGGTGAGGGAGTTCTAGGCAGGGGAGGAAGAAGGAAACCAAAGCCTCCCTCAGAGCTTCCGGGGAGGAGCTCCACTGACATCTGAACTTCAGTGGACTCCTAGACTACAGAGCCACACAAGAACTGTCTGTGCTCTCTTGAGCTGCTAAGTGTATGGTGAGCTACTAAAAAGGCACAGAAAACTCCCGATGAAATGATTCGTGCAGACGTGGCTCAGACTTGAAGTCTATAACTGAACATGGTTGACTGGTGTAGGGATTAAAAACACAGACAGTTCCCGGGCAGCCTTTCCTTCCCGCTGCTACAGCCCAAAAATTAGCTTCGTAGCTAATCTGACAATGACTTCCCAGAAGTGTCTGAATGTTGTCAAGAATGGGGTTTCAATAATAATAGTAATAATAATAAAAACTAGAAAATGAAAGAAATTATTGATAAAATTCTTAAATGTATTTTTGAACAGCATTGAACTTACAAGGGCCAAAGTATAAATCACTTAAGCTGGCAAAAAAAAAAAAAAAAAACTTTTTAGAATTGAAGCTAACGGAAAAAATAATCCTGGTTTGTTCTTGATGGTTTAATAAGCAATAATGCATTCATATTCTCCACTCAAGAATAAACAAGGATGTGCTTTAAATAATGCAAAACATGCTTGAAATCTTCAAGGAACAGAATATATCTATAGTCATCTTTAATAAAGACAAGGGCTCTGCAAAGCTTAATAGATAAGCAGATGCAGAGACCCATAGATGTAGTCATCATAAATTATATTACTCTAGTCATGGATTATGTTATTTTGGAAGTGACGGTTACTAGCATGTTTCTTCTTTCCAAGGATAAACTATCCCTAATGTGTAAACACATTGCGTTTTTACACAAGGAGAAAAATTAAAATTGAGCCCTATACTTTCTGAGATTCAATTATTTCCAGTCGAAAACCACTACCGTGGGGCCGATAATTTTTTGTACGTGTGCTACTACAGCAAAGCCATCTATTGGCGTGATCCACCCTGGGGACACCAGATAAACACAACTGGAGTCACAGAACCCGCTGCCAGACCTTCTTCGTTAGAAATATAATCCGACTTACTAGCCATCTCTTAAACTCTGCTCAGTCAGAACGCTCTGATCCAAATGGGAGCTGGGGCAGCAGTGGTTGGGGAAGAGACAAACAAAACCTTGTAATACCAAAGGTATGACCGGAAGTGAACATTTCAGACTTCTACACATCTTTTCTCAGAGGGTGCATGTTATGTGCGTGTGCATTGCATGTTCAGAAAAACTGTTACAGAGATCTTGAAAGCACCCACAGAGCTTCCATAACAATCACTGTTATGCAAAAAAGTATAAATAATACAAGAGTAGCCAAACAAGGAAAATTAACGTTTTTTTTCTTTCCTATTACGATAGTTAAAACAACTCTTCATTGAGAACACTGTATTTTACAATACTAGGGATCGAACCTAGGCCCCTGTGCATGCTAGGCAAGTGTCCTATGACTGAGCTATCTTTAAATATTTTCCCCTGTGTAGGTCCATGCAAGTATTTTTACCACATTATACATTTATGCCAAGGGGAACACGGAGCATTTTTCATTCTTAATTAGGGGACCTGGTCCATCTAAATCAGTACATGGCATAAGGAACACCAGCAGCATTTCAGAGCGGCCACAGCATCCAACGTCAGCGTCTGAAACTTACCATTATCATCACAGGACTCTGACTGGAAGGAGCTAAGGGACTGCACCTCGGACAGGCTCTCCCGAACACTGAGCGGCTGGGAGGGCTTTTCCTCCAGGGGCTTCTTGGAAAGACAAGGATCCAGATCCACCACTTTAGCTGAAAGGGAGAGATCTAGGTAAGCAGTGAGTTCCAAGTTCCCTCTGGCTCATGGTTACCCTCCATAGAAAGTACCTGAGCTGTGCTCAGTACATGAGCTACAGGATGGGGGAGAGCGAGCTAGGGGAGCATCCTAGAAACAAAACAATAAAAAGGCCTGCACATATTCTCAACAGACTCAACAACTTAGAATTTCTCCATAAGTAAGTCTATAAAGTGTAACTAGTGATCAGTTAAAATCTAGAGCTTTAGGTACATGCTAAGCCACACATAAATATTGCTTAGAAGAACTCTACCACCTTGCCTGGCTGTAATTAAAAAATAATTAGTATATAAGTGACGCCCCCATTATTTGTTATAATAAAACATCCCCAAATCACAGTTGACAATGTGTATCGGTTACAAAGGTGAAATGGCCTTTCTAGAATATTAATTAGAACACAATTAGATCTAATTTTTTTTTTAGATGAATTGGTAATTTTATTATTATTATTTATTTATTATATGTGAGTACACTGTAGCTGTCTCCAGACACCCATATGAGGGCATCAGATCTCATTGCAGATGGTTGTGAGCCACCATGTGGTTGCTGGGATTTGAACTCATGACCTCTAGAAGAGCAGTCAGTGCTCTTAACCACTGAGCCATCTCACCAGCCCTAGATCTAATTTAATAAAATAACTCCAAGCTCCCAATCCCTAGTCAGGAACTGGAATATATAAATGAGTTTTCATGACCATTTCAGATTGGAAAGCATCATCATCAGCCCCATAAACCACCATGGCCAGGCTAGGAACAGCACTGCCACCCCAGTGGCATTTTGGTGAGACAGAAACCTTCACACCCTTACCGTCATAGTCAAAGTCCCAGCTAGGTTTCTGTATGGAGTCGCTGTCTGAGGGAGAGTTGGAAGGCGGTGGCGGAGGCAAGTTTGGAGCTACGCTGCACACAGCCACAGCTTTCCGATGCCCGTGTATAGACTCGGGGTTGAAAGTGCTGAATTCTGGATGCTCTGGGATGGCTGAGCCTTCAAATGAATTCCGGTCAAGGTTGTTTCTGGAGTCACTTGGAATGCTCGGGGTGTAGGAAATGGGACGGACAGGCACCTGGGGCGGTATGTCAGAGTAAATGTTCTTGTTCACCTTCGAATCAAAGTAAGTTCTCTGCAAGAAAGCTGTGCTCGGTCCCAGACGTTTGTCTTCAGGTTCCGCCTGGTGCTTCTTCTTCCGACTGATCATCTTCCGGCAGAGGACAAACACCACGACCAGTAGGAATATCCCGGCTATAAACACAATAATGCCTATGCCCTCGGCCAGTCCGATGTTCCACGGGGTGGACACGTAGTGGTTGGGAGTGGCGTCCTCACAGTGCTTCCCTCTGTACTCCTGGCTGCAGTTACAGTAATAGGAGCCATGTGTGTTCTCGCAAAGGGCCCCATTCCGACAGGGGTTCCCGGCACACTCATCAATGTCACTCTGACATCTGCCAACAAGAAGGAGAGACCGTTGTAGTAGATGTCAGAACCCACCTGTCCTAGAATCCTTCAGGATGAACACTAAACACACCCATCCTTCAGTGAGATGCCGAAACAAAGCTGAATGGGAAACACTCAGAAAATATCAGGGATGGGAACCAGAAGAGGCCTTCTGTGGATTGGTGACAGGGTCATAGGCTGACCGTGCATCTGAGATGCACCACGTCAAGCCGATATCTAGCTGCATTTTTCTAGAATTAATAGATAACTAAATCAGTTCAATAGGCTATAACATAGGTTGTTCTTAGGTCTCATGGTCAAGCTATCATTTAGAAATTTTGGAAGCTAAGGTACATTTTAACAAGTGGTGTGTACTGCAAACCATTCTCAGTGAAAATGGTCCTGTTTGGGAACAGAAAACACACTCTCCATTTTAAAATGCTATTCCTTCTGGAATTAGAATCATCTTCCTACACGTGTCACCATCACAGAGCAGATCACAGACAGTCCCTTCTGCTTTTCTAACCAGGGCATGTGAACATGTGGGCGGTACATACCCACCCTGGCTTCTGAGCTTTTACAAATGGGAAGCTCTTTCCCATTTGAAAAAAAGAAATCATCTACTTGCAAATTATGAGGAATTATAATAAAAAGTCTGAACACTGATATATTCTTTGTAAAATACATAGGAATATACTCTGATTAAAATTGGGGAAACCCACAAATGTACCAGGGTCTCAAGACTAAGGGCGATATTCAGGATTATAATGATTCCAAGAACAAAACGATATAGAATAACTAAAGGCAGACCACACCAGCAGCCTAATGAGACTGAAGGAGACTCATCTAAATGTTCTTTGCCAGGCATTCAAACATTACATATACCCAGTAGGTCTGTTGTTGAGACAGGGTCTTATAACATTACCCTGTTTGGGTTAGAACTCACTATGTAAACCATGCTGGCCTCAAAAACTCAGAGATCCACCTGCCTCTGCCAACTGAGTGCAGGGATTAAGGGAGTATGTCTGAGCCTGATTCCAATTAACTTTTGAAAAGAGATAGCATCTGAAATTAGTTTCTTATGCTTTTTTCTCAAGGTGTGTTTTTTTTTGAGATATCTAAATATCTAAAGCCTAACCACCTCTTAGGCTTATACTGGGGATTGGTATAATTAATATAATAATAATTAGTATAATTACTATAAGAATGAGAAAGGCAGCAAGGTTTAGATGCTGGATCTATGTTGGTACAAACCACTGTGAGAAATCGTGATTAGTACCTTCTCATGGATAGACGGCACTGTGTCACGAAGTACTTGCTTTAGAAAACACAAAGAAATGCAACCAGTTTACAAGCATTGGCCACTTGCCAATGACCCACACATTCTTCATCTATAACTAATAGCTCTACAGTACAGAACCAGAGCTTTCCCGCTTTACATTCATCTTTCTGATCCAGTCTTTTGTCAAGACTTGTCTGCACATCATAAGAACGCCAGTGAGAATCACCACAGTCTGACACGATGCAGTGTGAGTTAACGACGCTGACTTAATGGTCAGCACACGGTGGGAAGGTGCAGCAGATACAACGCTTCAAAGAAATGATTTACCTTTCTCCCCTAAAGCCTGAGTCACACTGACAGACAGCACCGTCCAAACTGTCAAAACACGTTCCACCATTTTTACAGGGTTCATCTTCGCAGTAGGGACTAAGCTGACATCTAAGTAAGGAAAAACACATGAAGAAAAGCCCTCATGAGTTCACTGCGAATCATTAACAGACAGCATTAACACCGAAGAACACAGTGACCCATCCTATGCAGAATTCCATGCTTTAATATTTAACCTTCATTCAGAAAGAAATACAAACATACCTCTGACCAGTGTACAGCCCCCTGCACTGGCAAACAAAGCCTCCGTTGTCTACCATGCACGTTCCACCGTAGAGGCAGGGGTTGGAGGCACATGGGTTGACGCTCACCTCACAGTACGTCCCTACGTACAATGCACTGCACTTGCAGTAGTAACCTACACCGTGGAAAAGAACAAAAAATCCAGTCACTCAATGACCGCAAAGTGTTTCACTGGATGATACCTTTATGTTTAAGCGAAGATGCAGTCCCTCAACATCTATGAAAGAGAGCAAATTTCCCATTCTCTCCAGATGAAGAGTTATCCATTAGGGTAGAATATCTCTTTTCTAAAATACTGGGACCTGAAATGATTTACTTTGGAGGGTGTGTGTGTGTGTGTGTGTGTGTGTGTGTTTTATTTAGGCTTAGTATTTTTTTTTTTTTACAGATTTTACAGCTGGAATATTTCTAAACTGGAAATCTGATATTCCAAATGCCTCCAACCCTGGAAATTTACATAATACATTAGGAGGTCAGAAAGTTCTAGATTTGGGAGCCTTTTAGAATTTGGATTTTAAAATTTAGTATGTTCATCCTATGAAACCTAAACAGATATGACTAGATTCAGTTAAAGATAATTACATACGGCTGGTGGGTCAAATGGAATGGGTGAGAGAAACAGGCCCATTGATGGACATACACACGTAAGCAACGCCAGTCAACAACAGTTTTACACCCACAGGTAGTATTCCCAGGCACATGCCATTAGAGAACACAGCAAGAGATGTTTGCTTTTCTCCCTTAAAAGCTGTGCATGGCCCTAGTGAATCTTTGGCCGTGGTCACTGCTGCTGGTTCCTTAGACTAGCCCAATGTTACAGCACATGCTACTTCTGACCACACCGTCTGCGACAAAGACAAGAAGTGATGACATCATTGAATGGAAGTGAGGCAAACCAATTCTATTCGGGGAAGTCGCCTTTCAATGTGCATGAGGGCAACATCTGAGCGACCGCAGCTTTACTAAGCCTACCTCCGGTAGGTGAGGGATTGCAGACGCCTCCATTCTGACAAGGGCTGCTGGAGCAGTCTTCTGTGGCAGTTAACAAGCACCCGTGAGAGAGGTCCACCCACTCTTCGATGTGCGCGTAAGCTCTTGGTTTGTTGTTCAAAGGCAGCTCCTGCCCATTCAAATAAATGGAGTCCATGCAGCCCCTGAAACCATTGGCCACCTGGGTGCTTCGCCCATGCTTCGTCCCTGGCTGGCGGAGGTGGCCACCAAAAAATACATAGTTATCCAGGTTGAGGGTTTTCAGAGCCCCAGGGGCCGTGCCCGATGCAGTGTGGACTTCATCTAGAATCAGCTTCGCATAATTGCCCTCCACTTGCAGGGACACCGCGTGCCACTGCCCGTCGTTGACCTGAATGCTCTGAACAGAGACAATCCCAGGGCCACTTCCACAGTCAAACTTGTACTGCAGCCTCCCGGTGTGAATCTGCAACAGAATACATATTGTTCACACCGATCGCATCTTCAGCGTCAGTCTGTGCAAACTCTCTAAGAGGGGGATGTTTACTGAACGAAGGTAGAAAGAATACAAGCTTGCAGTTAGGTGCCAAGGAGCACAAACTCATTCATCTACTATACAAATAATACAAATGGATCGTCCGGGTGCCAAGGGTGCATTCAAAAATAACACAGACGTGACTAATTATTAACTGCTAGCTGGACACACACGGACAAGATACCATGGAGGGTTTCTGTATAAACAGACTGTCAATATTAGCAAGGTATAAAGAAGAGATTTGTTCATTAGCTGTCACGGGTCTCAAAGTTTATGTTGAAGAATATCTGAAGTAAATTTCTAGGCTACTGGCTAGCAGAAAGAATTTTCGATAGCACCCAAGTGTCAACGTTACCCAGGCCACGAGTCCTTGAGACTCGGAGAAACCCACCTTTCTTAGTTTGTTTTTAGATGGGACAGTCAGGACAGGAGAGAGAATTGAAATTTCATAGTCTCCCTCGGTCCTAGGTCACAGGATGCATAAAAGCCATACCTCCAGGATACTGTAGTCGGTTCCTCGAGCATACATGACAACCGCGTGGGAAGAGTAGGTTCGCAGCCGCATGCTCAACTTCATCTCCAGTCGGTTCTCATTTTCCAGCAGACGATACTTCACAAAGCTGTTTCCGGTAAAAGTTATGGATGAACTCCCTACGGATTACAGGAAAAAAAAGTCTGTCAGCAACAAACCTAAGCATATCATCAAAAGTAAGTGTGATCGTCCTCCCTCCCCAGAGGCTGGCTTTTGGTCTTTTTAAATTTAAAATTGCAGCAATAGGAAAAGTGCCTACTGGCTTTAACAGATAGCAAAGCACATACAACTGACTTTCCACATGGAAGAGACTGAGAACTCTGTATCCCAGAGGAATAAAGTCTAAAATAATAACAAAACTAAATATAAAAATGTTCTGTGTAAGTTATGAGTAGGCAATTTGAGAAGAAAAAAAGGAATGTAGCCTCAAGGTGATTAGGCAAAATCTGTCAGACAAAACCACAAAACAATCCCCATTACTCCAAGAAGATGAAAATCCTATCAGCCTCCGGAAATGAAAATTAAGTTATGCAGAACTGACTAAATAAAAATTCAATTTCAAAGTGACAAAAGGCACATTTAACAAAATAGAAGTCCAATATTAAGAAGAGAGGGCAGATTGTAATAAGAAGCATGTTAATCATAATACCCAGAGTTCGACTCATTCAGAAACACACAGCCCAGGAGGCCAGCCACACTATAGGAAATGCTAACACCAACTAATTAGCAGAGTGGTTCCTTCCATAAGCAGCCAGAGACGTTAAAAACTTAAATAAGCATTTCAATCTCACTAGGGAAGAAGTACGGATTTTAATTGAAAGCTTTCAATACAGAGAAAGAGAATGAGACACCAGACCTTCATATATGCCTGGAAGAAATGGAACATATTGGTTCAGCTACTTTAGAAACTAATAGAATGGTGTATCTAAAAAAAATTAAATGCGTTTAATTTTTGACAGCAGATTCTAGTTTCAGGATATCATGAGCAGAGGGAGAAAAGCACCAGAGTGCAAAGATGAACTTGAAAAGATTTTTAACGGGAAAGATACATTCTTTAACAGGAAGACACATACAGAATGGTGACTAAATCCCGGTCCAGCTATTAAGGACAGTGAGGATTGCTCACAATGGGCTTGGAACATGTCTTTAATGAGCTAAGTAGGGGCAAAAAGCCGAGGACTGTGGGAGAAATCAGGCAAAAGAAGATTAGAGGGAAACAAGAAAAAAATGAAGCTTTGTGGTTTATGCAGCCATGGGAGGGGTGGGGATGAGTGGGGGCTGGGCAGGGCAGGGCCAGGCTGGGTGGTGGGGCCCAACAGACAGCCCAGGGAGCTCCGGCTCTCTGTCCATCGTTCCGCTTACCTCGTTATGACAGACAACCTGCACATAATTCTTCCTCCAATAAAGAAACAGAAATCAAAGCACTGTCAGGGATGGTTCGAAATGAATTCACACGTGAGGAATTCCTGGCAGCGAGCACCTACCTGGGCATTTACCGAAGCCGCCCCCAGGACACACACAGCTGTACTTCTCCTCTCGGGGATCTGCGACACATTCAGATCCTGCGGGGCAGGGGTTATCTTCACACCCGTGGTGGACAGGTGGGCACTTCCCATCTGTATTTAGAAAAACAAGAGGAAGAGAGGAGAGAACACAGGAATTAGGAAAGTGATCACTACTGTTGTCATTCATTCATTCATTTTTGCAGTGCCGGAGGGTTGAATCTCAGGCCTCCTGTATGCTAGACTGGCACTTGTCCACCAACTAACATTTTCTCCAGCCCTTTTTTCATTGTTTCATTTTGAGATGGGATATCATTATCCCAAGCTGACCTGGACTCCTATGTAGCCTAGAGTGGCTCTGAACTTGCAGTCTAAGTAGCTGAGATCATAGGCCTATCTCATTAGGCCTGGCCATAAAACAATCATCACCATCATCACCGTCATCATCTCTTCCTTCTTCCTCCTCCTCCTAACATTTTTTTAAATTTAATTTTACGTGTACGTGTGTTTTGCCTGCATGCATGTCTATGTACCACTTGGGTACCTGATGCCCATGAATCCGTGAATCTCAAGTTACAGATGGTCATGGGCTACTATGAGGGAGCTGGAAATCAAATCTAAGTCTGATGCAAGAGTAGCCAGTAGGCTCCTAACTGCTAAGCTCCCCACAATAAAACAGTCTTTAACGCTCATGTCCATGTACGTATGCGCTCTTACCTTTGCAGAGACACACAGCCGTTCTATGGTGTCGGGGAGTCACGAAGCTCAGTCTGGCTGTGCTGTGAGTTGACATAACGTTTTCATCCACGGACACCTTCTCGTCACAGAACTTCCGCGGGCAATCCAGCCCTGCGCAGCGCTTCTGGAACACGTCTAGGATCCTCACACCAATGATCTCCTCGACGTCAGTCACGGAGGAATTAATCTTGTGCAGAAGTTGCTTTGTTGAAATCTGGGTGCCACCTGACTTCTCTACAAAGAGTAAGACGTCCAGATGCGAATGGGGTTCAGAGGGCTGCAGGCTGAGGATCTGTATGTCGTTCTTCCGAACGCCCAGGATGTTGCGTAAAGCTCGCTGGAAATTGCGCCAATAGTCACCGACAAACTCTTCCGGGGTGAGATTCGCGAAGCGGATCGCAATGGTGTGGTTCAGCATCTCCTGTGTCACTTGTTGGATGTGCACGGTGATGTCGGCCACCGTTGTAAATTTCCCGTCTGTCACGCTGACATTGAGAAGGTACTGGCCTATATCCAGCTTTCTGTGTGCAATCAGCTTACCCCCCGTGCTGGACACAGAGAACAGGCCATCCATGTGGGGATCCAGACTGTATGTCAAGGTGTCATACACGTCCTGGTCTGTGGCGTGGATCTTTCCTATGACCCCACCTGAGTATTCCTCTCCAAAGGCAGTGATGAAAATCTCTAGTGGCAAGATGGCAGGAGGGTGGATGCTTTCCTCAATCACTCTGATGTCAATGTGTGTCATCGATGACAGCTGAGGCTTTCCATTATCAGCCACCTAGGAAGACAGAAGTAGCCTCTGGTGTTACTGCCATCTCCTAATAAAAATGCATGACGCGGTTCACTTACGTTCTGCACAGCATCAACTGTTAGGTATTCATTTCTCACCATGAAGCCCACTGAGGAAAAGGACAACTGTTTTGTTCCTTACTCGTATGGACACTGAGTCACACTCCTGCTTAGAAGGGGTAGCCGAAGCACCACTGAGACAAAATCAGATGTGCACTCAAAAAACAGACCATATTCATTTTTTTCTATAGCATGTGAGGAAGCTACCTAAATACACAAAGACAACCACCTGCAGATGCTCTCTATGAACCCAAGGGAAACCATGAAGACTTGGATACCTTAACATGCAGAAGGTAATGGTCCTTCACTTTCCTCTTGACTGTCGCCGCTGTCAGGAGGACCCCGTGCTGGTTCACTTCAAACGCATTGTCATCATTTCCACTCACAATAGTAAAGAAGAAGGGGGGACCATTGTGGGAAGAGTCCTTGTCTGTCACTACCAGCTTCAGGACGCTGAAACCCACGGGCTTGTTCTCCTGCGTAATGTTAAGCAAACAGAACAAAAGGCTATCAAGGCTACCATGGACACATGAGGCTTTCTGGTAAGTATGTAGATGATAAAACTTCATTTCTAGTGCATCAAGGTAGAGAAGAGGGAAGACAGGTGGAGGCATGGGGGGAAGGGGAGGGCAGGAACATGGGGAGTGAGAGAAGTAACAGAAGGAGGTCCGAGAAGGGTAAAGAGAATGGAACAGCATCCATGGGGGTTAGTGAGGAGGACAATGACAGTCCTAGGGGTGGAGGGAGAGGTGGTGGACCAGTGCAGTAGAAGATACGATTATGAAAAACTCATTCTAGTTAATCCTAGGACAAGAAATGCTGAGCTGAGTCCTCCAAATGCCCCTTGTATACTAAGTCAGGGGCTCCTCTAAATCTCACCTTCACCAGTTTTCTAGAAAACGGGTCTGGAAAGGAAAGCTACTTCCAGTGAGTGTCCTGGAGCCAGTTAGAGATGGAGCAGGCTGCACACCCCTTAGCGCCCCACCCATTTACCTGGATGATGACACTGTAGTTGTCTCTGGAGAAGAGGGGAGCGTTGTCATTGACGTCGGAGACATCGATGTTCACCGTGGTTGTGTTGACTCTGGGTGGATTGCCATTGTCGGCAGCTTGCACCGTGAGCGTATAACCTGAGATCTTTGTCAGGGAAAGAGAGAACACCCATCATGTGTATGGTGCTAATCAACTGGGAATCAGTGACGTCATTTGCCAAGCCTAATGTCTGGGCAATTCCCTAAAATTAAAATAAAAACTCCCAACCAGCGAGGGAGTGCATGCACTATTTTCTCAACAGAGATGGTTATCGGCAAGAAGCAGATTCTCTGCTCTCTCCCATTAAAGGTTTTATTAAAGTACTTGATCTTGAAAATCTTATAGTTCTATTAAAATGCAAAGACAAATTACACAAATGACCAGAGAAAACAGTGACCTAGATGACAGGCTGTTGTAACTTTGGTAATACCACAGGTAGCACCTTCAACACAGGCTAAATCTTACAGAGCCAGAGGTAGAAACTTGAGCTGCCTCTTGCCCCGTGAGCAGACTCATTTCCAGCATCTCAAGATGTGCCACGTCACCGTCACCTTCAATTTCACACCTGGGTTATACTTAGTTGTTTAAATCCCTCAAGGTATCTGTGGCCACTCGAAAAAGAAATCAAGTGAGACAGCCTCACTGTTAGGGCAGTTCCCTGTTACAGTATCTTCAGAGTGAGCATTGGGTCAGAAGATGGGTAAATCCTGAGGTACCATTCTGTAGGACATCAGTCCAGCAAATGCTCGACAGCCACAGCATTGAGAACTCCCCAGGCCACCTCCTCTACCATCTCACAGTGGATACAGTATGCTGTAAGAGCTAAGTTCTTTAGTGGCAATTACTAAATTTCAGTCAAGTATGGTGACAGGCACCTAAGTTTTCAACACACAGAAATCTGAGGCAAGAGTACTGTGGGCTTGAGTCTAGCCTGAACTATATAGCAAGATCTGCATTTAAAAAAAAAAATCACACTTTACTCTGCTTAATACAATAGATCTTTCTATAGTTAACAGTCAAGCTTCTCAGACTCTTAGGAAGATGCCACTCAAAAATAGGAAGCCAGTAGAAGAGCCGACTCCGCCCCTCTCTAGTGGAGGGGTGGCCCGCCTCTTGCTACCTCTCCACAGTTGATCACTTCTCGCAAGGCTGCAGATAGAGAAAGACTCACCTTCCCTTGTGGGGCTGGACACTAGGGGTTTGTCCAGTGAGTACATGGGCAAACACAAGACAAGATGGACTACCTGGTTTTTGGTTTTTTGGCGGGGAAAGGGGAACGGACATGGGAGGAATGAGAGGGTTTGGGCGGTGAGTGCAATCAGGGTGTATAATGTGGGATTCCCAAATAATGAAGAAAAACAAAGTCAGTCAAAACAAAACCCCAAAAAACAAACAAACAAACAAACAAAAAACCCCTCAAGAACCAACATTTTAATTGACTTTCAAATATTTCTACCCTGCCCCGTCATTTCCTAAGACGACGACAGTTCTACCGTTTTGGGGACTTCACATTGTACCAAGCAGGTACAAACTGGAAGCTTTACTGCTTTGATACCAATTCAAATCCCTTTGGAAGCTTACCGTTTCCCGGTCCAGGGGCTTCGTGACTCTTACTTCTCCTCTGACAGGGTCAATTGTGAACGGACTTCCTTGGTTACCCTCTATGATGGAGTAGTGGATGTGGCTGTTTGAGGGGCCATCAGCGTCGTCAGCCATAATCTAGGAAACATCACTCTTTTAGGAAACAGTGGGGGAGGGGACAGAGGAAACAGCAGCTAGCTTATTTACGGCAGTTACTTAAAAGCCAGTAATTGGCTGAGCAAGGACCTTCTCGTTTTGCAGTGGTGAAGACTCACACACCCTCACGGGGACAGCGTGAGTGCTCTAGCACTGAGCCGTGTCCTCTGGCTGAACAATTATAACGCTCTACGGTATTTTAAACAGAACCAGTTTAAGAATTAGAATGACTCTACTAATGATCCCTTCAAGATGGAGAAGAGGCGAGCTGTAAGGCAAGGTACGCACTGTGATCACAGACTGCTCGAGAGCTGCGTCTTCACCAATCACTGTGGTGTAGGTGTCTTGGCTGAACACTGGGCTGTTATCATTGATGTCTGTGACGTTGATGTTCACGGTCGCCACGTCACTCAATGAAGGCGTGCCTCCATCAGTGGCTTCCACAGTCAGGTAATACCCGTGGGAGCTTTCATAGTCCAGGTTCTCAATGATAAATATGGCCCCTGTATGGAGAGACAGAATTCCGTCAAGCGCACTGCAGTTCCATTTCTTATTACACTGACACCTCTTAACATGTGTAGTTCTCATTGCAAAATATAACTTGTGCATCTTCTGCTTTAATTCGGTAATTTAAAATTATGATTTTTTTTTTACCCACCCAACATTCCTGTTTATTTTCTTTATTTTCTTCATATTCCTGGTGACATTAGTCAGTAATGCTATCTCTGCTTTAAATGACTATACTGCTTTTAAAATGACGGTGGCTCTCAGTCCTTCTTTGATGTTGTTCACTACTATAGACTTTAATGCTTTAAAAAAATTTCAACTCAGTGCCTTTTGGTTTCCTTCTTATTGCTATTGTTGTCATGAATGTTCTTCTGAAAAGAAGTCTCTGAGGTAACTGTCCAGTCAGTCTTAAATATCCCCTCTGAGAATGGAACCCTGGGATCGTGCTTCTAATACTAGCAGTTGGGAGGCTGGGGCAGGAAATATACATTTGAGTCCTGTCTGGACAACACACCAAGATCATCTTTCAATAAACAAAGCAATAAAATGAGATACCTCACTGATTTAACAATACTTGTAAGAACACT